TACAACCCGTTATGGCCCAGAACGGAAATAATTAAATGCTGCAACAATCGAAGGCTTGTGTTTATCTGGGAAGCGCTTCTCACGGCTACTTCAGAAGCGTGCAATGTTCCCACCCTCGATCTACCCGGGGTGTGGATTGCCTTATATCGGCGCCTAAAAAGCGAAACGCGCCTAACATCGTATCGCCAACGCGGTAGCATTTCCACGCATGCGCCGCTAACATCGTAAAATATAAAAATTCGAACATATCAAAAAATAATTTGCACGTTCTTAACGAAATTTCCGGACGCCTGTTTGAATTTTAAATATTTTGTTCCTTTGGAATATCCTGCACGTTTGTCTTGTTAAAATTTTATTCTTTTCACCTGAAGACGACGATTATACATTCGTCGAAAGTGCTTGTGTTAATACTAAAGAAACTTTATTAACGCTGAACTCAGTGAATTTGTATCCATAAGTTATACAAATATTGGCGTGAGTTTTTAAAATTTATTTTTACTTAAGGATGTCTCTTTGTTCGGAACTATTGTTTGAACAGGAAAAACAGCCACCTCACCCCACCAAAGTCAGGTAGGGGAGAGTACCACCCACAGTCATTCTAAGAAGTGAACTCTGACCTTAGAACTGAGGGTGCCTGCACGTGACCTTTGCCCTTTGACCTCACTTTGCTCCTAAACTCTAACGAGAAGAGACATCTTTATACCATCTTTTGATTCAACAGCCGTGCCAATCTTGGATTTATATTATATATCGACGCTGTTGTAAATATCACTCTGCCAATACAAATTAAGTAAATTATCAGTTTCTCAGTAAATTTTTACTGACAGAACATTCACTGAAAATGGCTCATGGACAACCTTGTGGTCAATGCAGGTGATGTTTTAATGATTGCATCCAAAAGCAGCAATATCAAAGAAGATAGGAGAATGAAAATGAAACCTGCCTTGAGCATCAAAGTAATTCTGTCTCCGAGACATAGTCTTGTCCCAAATACAGTTTAGCTGTTTTACTTGTTTATGTAATAAATGAACAAAAATAAACTTTAATGTTCAAACGTTTTCAGCCATCTTTCAGAGGCCCTTGCCAGGAAAAATGCATAAAACAAAAAAAAAAAAAAACAGTTCTATCTTTTAAAAAGACGGCCAAAAATGTTTAGGTGTGAATTTATTTGTTTAGTATATGGTTCCAGTTTATGCGTGCCAGTTTTTTGTCATATTTATGTAAATTTCATACATTCATTCTTAAGGTTTTCTTTCAATAACTTTATCACGAAAGTCATTATTTTGTTTAAAATATTTTTTTAAAACATTCTGTCAATTATTTCTCATTTTTCTTGTAATCTAGATTTTGTATAGTATGAAAAATTAATTTTATTAGTTATAAGTTTTGTGAATTTTCAATTTTTCTATTATTCTTTGCAACCTCCAAAAAACTGACTCAATAGATTCACTTTTGTAAATAATCTAAAACTGATAAGAAATACATATTCAATGACAGATGATACCTTCTCATTGAATCTGATTAAGTCTTATCAATATGGTAATAATTATCAGAGAAAGACATTACAAAATTATGTATTAATCTTATAGATATAATTACTTTCAATCTAGTGTAATTTTTTTAGGACAAATGAATGCTTTCAATGGCCAATAAAAGTGACTTAAAATTATATGGATATTAGAAAAAAAGAGAATATTTGTTGTAATGTAAAAATTTTACTGAAGACTTAATATCTCTATTTCATCATTTCAGTTTGATCACAGTATATCTGTAGTAAGAATTAGTCAACTTATGAACCATATATTGAAGAATTAAAGCATAAAGACAAATGCATAAAGCCAATGGCCCTTGTCACATTGAAATTATTACAACTACTTAATATCTGATTTTTATGAAGTTATAATTTGAGTTTGTTTGGTTTTAAACCAAACAAACTCAAATTATAACTTCATAAAAATCAAATACAGTAGAACCTCGAAAACTCGGCTCTCGATAACCCGGCACTCCGGATAACTCGGCCACACCCTGGCAGGGCAAAAAAATCCTTAGTTAATTAATTTTCATTACAGACAGCTTTATAAAAGTATAAAAGCTCTCATAAAGTATTTTTCTGAGGTCTGTCTTATCAGGTAAATTACTGTACACAGTGTATTCATTAATTTTCATTTTCATGTAGTAAAGGCTCTATGCCTTCATAAAGGACGTACTTTTCCTTTGTTTAAGGGTATTTGGGCAGTTTATTCTCTGTTATATTCTCAAGTAAACAATACATACAAGTACAGTACAGTATTTTCTGAGGAAACACTCGTACTTATTTTTTTTAACCCCATTCCCGATAACCTGGCATTTTCACAAACTCGGCCACTCTTCGGTCCACATTAGGCCGAGTTTTCGAGGTTTTACTGTATTTTATTTTATAGCTTGAAACAGGAACATTTTTCTGTTGTTACTGACTATATTTTTAAAATATAATTTATAAAATTGAAAATTATTATCTTAAAAATATACATATGTATCACATATAATTTTACAAAAATGAGGTCAAGATTAAGATGCAGTTTAAACCTGAGTCTAAACTTCAATTTAATCTGCTATTCATAGCCTTATTCATACAGTCTAGTTCAGAATTTATTTTTTGTAGCATTCTGAATTGATTATTAATCCAAAAGAGATTCAAATTTTAGAATTTTAGATAATTTTTTAAATTACATATTGATAATATAATAAAATACATCATCATCAATATATAATCAAAAAAATTATCTAAATCTATAAATTTAGTTAGAATGCTACACACTCAAATTCAGAAGTAAAGAGAAACTAAAGGGTGTGTATAAAAAAACTGATAAATAACAAAAAATATTATGTATTTAAGAAAAACAGATTAACACTTATAGTTTTCAGTAATTGTCAGCAAAATGTACAAAGTTATTTCCTACATTACAAAAACATAGGATTCTACTGTTGCTGCAGATAGAAGTTTAGAATGAAGTCTTTCTTAACCAATAGATGCAAGTGAAATAGATCAATTCAATTTTTACCTTGCTCCCAACATAATTTCCATTGGATTTTTTCTTGTAGAGTTATCAATACCTGCTACAGATATTAAAATATTAAAAGGTCACATAATAAATGTAGTCAAAACTGTAATTCAAGACATGTTATTTAACATGTAGAGAGCAATTGAATGCTGTTTTCATATTGTGAAAGTAATGCATGGTGCACCTACCAAGATTTCTTAAAAATAAGAAATAATTTTGAGTTTTCTCACTAATAAGAGCAAACCACATAATTATATCCTTCTAAAATAAACCCTTTCTCTCTCTCTTCTTTTTATATTCTCCTAAAATAAACCTAAGGCTGTATTTATGCAGAAGGGAGAAAAATAGGAGGAGAGGGTAAACCAAACAATGTCATGTGCCTACAGGAATAATCTACTTGTTTTTCCTTAGTTGTGTAAGAATGCTGATTGGGAGGGACATTTTATTCCCTACCGTCAGGATGATCTAGGGTCTAAGCATACATGGGTGGTGGTTTTAAGAGGCAGCAAAAGACAAGTGTTTCACAGAAAAACTGTTTATTCCGGACAATAATGCTTACATAAATTCTCTCATTGGAAACGTCCTGTGTTGTAGGAAATTTCGATGTCAATTCTGGTCTTGCGTCATCGGGGTTTCGGCGGTGATCTGGTCCAGCGTCGTAGGAGTTTTCGGCAGTGATCTGGTCCAGTGTCGTAGAGATTTTCGGCAGTAATCTAGTCCAGCATCGTAGGGACCCCTGGACAGCGTTGAACGAAAAGTTCGAAGTCTCAACAGTCAATACACAAAAGATGAAAAGATGCACAAAAAAAATGGAGATGCACGAACACAAAAGAAGTCTAGTGGAAGTCTCGTTGTCCTTGGAATTGGTATTTTTATAGGTTTTTCGAGATCTGCTTCTTGCTAATTGGATAGACCTTACATCATCGTTTTCTAATTGGTCTTCCACCTGTCTCCAAGTGTAAATAGAGCTTCATAAAGTTCGCGGGAAAGGTCGGCTGGAGATGGTTTATCCGACACCATCTTTTTGACTCTGATCGCATTTGTTGACTATGACACCCACGCTCATTTTGATATTTTTTCTAGTTTCGTTTTACTTTCCAAACTGCGTTTTAACTTTAATATTTTAAATTTTCTTCTTTTATATCTAAAATTTTGTTTTTCTCGTTATTCTCTATGAGCGTCAACGTCAAAGTGCGGTGTTGCTGATTCGACACTTATATATTAATAATTTACTTTCTTGACGACTGAACTTAACAAAATTTTTTTATATCTTTTCCTTTTGGGGGGGCTATTTCTGGGGCCTCACAGTTATATTCATGCAAAAGTGGGAAGGAAAAGTTCAATGAATTTTACAACAAAATAAAGTTAAAGAAAAATATAACAAAAAATAAACAAAACTACTCTATCAACGTTTTCTTATTTTTATATATCACATCCTTTTTTTTTTGTAGCTTCTCAGGCCCTTTTCTTCACATTCACCTGATTGCCAGTGTGCTTCATTGTAAACATTCTATTGATGTTGTTGTGAAAAAGTAAGGCTGCTGAACTATTGCAAATGCACTAACTCAGGAGAAGAGAAAAATATGCAGCAATTTGAACTTTCAAGAATGACGGAAACTCATGCATTTTTTGTGTGTAACATGCAAGAACACTGTTTCCCTCTTTTATATAAACAGCATTGTGAGTGCAAATTCTGATTCCAAAAGTTCTCTTTTACCTGTTTTTCCCTCTTCTTGTGTCTGCATAAATGCAGCTAGAACTTTTTAAAATTTTGTTGAAAAGACTTTTATAATCACATATCTAAAGTTTATAGAAATATGTTATAATAAGCATTTATAATAATAATAATTTTACATAGTCTCTTTTCCAATATATAATACATAATTAATATATATCCATTCAATGGTTGTGAATATCAAAATATTAAATTATAAATTAAATTACACGAATTTTACAAACCTTTCACTATTTTCTGAAGTTAAATTTTCTGTTTTAGCATCATTTTCATTTTTGCATTTATTTTTATTGTTTATTTTTTCTGAAGAATGACGTTTTTGTTCTACAGTTGCTTTCATACAGAAATCTTTCATATGTCCACATATCATTTGTAAAAACTTAGTAATATTAATTTCTATAAGAGATTCCTTGCAAATTCCATCAATAACTGCTAATACATCTTGTTTGTCTATGTAGGATCCATGATGAAGAGATCTAAAAATAAAATGTTAATTTTATAAGAGAGAAAACATTATAGCAAATTTCTAAAAATATTACATGAATTCTAAATCAGGCTTTTCATCAAAACATTATAGAAAAATTTCTGACTTTATAAATAAAAATCTTTAAACATTCAAGTTATAGAAAACAAAATTATTTAGTAATCTAAAACATTTTTGTCAAATTAACAGATACAAATAAAAGACTTCTTTCATAAAATACAAGTCCACACCTAGTTACAAAATAATTTTTTAAAATGCAACATTTAAAAAAAAGCATTATTTAGATATCAATTGTTTTTTATTTTAAATTTTAATATTTCAAAAAATCATTTTCTAAATTTTCTAATAAAAAATTTAGTAAACAATACTACTTCCAACACACCGTAACTTCAACAGACTTACTTCTAGAATAACCAAAACGGTGCTAAAATCGCTTTAATTTGTTTCACTAACGTTTTCGAACCTTTTGGTTCTTCTTCAGGTGAAAAATGGNGTAAAAAACAGTTTTTATTGCAAATTTTATAACAAATTTAATACACAATGAAAAGAAATAAAGTGAAATATAATAGAATCTCATTTTAACAGATTGCAAAACAAAAAGTTTTTTCCAAGTCCTTCCACATCAATGTAATTTTACTTCCTTTTAATGGATCCATAACTTGGAATGATGAATTTTTTCTAGCCCTATCTATTGTAAAATTGTGTTTTTTCAATGTTTAGTTAATATTTGTAGAGTTTGATGATGCACTTTGTTACATCTAGGATATGTACAATTGAAGACTTTTATGAAAAGACTCATCAGACTGATAAGATTGAGGAGGAGCTACCTAGTGAACATTCTGACATTGGTGCAAGTAAAGTGCCAAAATTTAGTGAAGCCATTGAGTCTTTCCAAGTCATGAAGACATCCCTGACAAGTTTCAGCATAAATGAAAAGGCTGTACATGACATTGCTAATATGAAGAAGTTGTATTCAATAGGTAGAAAAACATCATCAAAACAAACCAAGATGGAAGTTTTTTTAACAAATCATAAAGTCAAGTGAAGTGCTAATGCATGTACGTAATGTTAGACCTCCATGTTTAACAACTCCTCAACAATAGTGCTCATGAGAAGAGCTCAAAATCTCATCCCGTTTTTTTATAGTTGTGTTTTTTCTCTCTGTGTAGTCTGTAAAGTTCGCAAGTATGCCTTGTGATCTGTGTAAATAACTTCAATAAAGTATTTTTCTGAAGACAGTGCTGGTATGTATTATTTGTCATCCTATCCTGCACTGTGAGAAATTGATTTACTTTTGAAAAATCAAAACTAGAATTAATGATTGAAGACCTTAACCCTAACACATAATTTGCCTCTTTTTGTGCTTACAATATATACAATTTCTGTCAGCTTTGTTGTACAGACATATGGCATAATATACAATCTTGTAACGTGTTTCTATAGAATAAAGAATAGAGATCTCAAGAGAGTGAATAATTTTAAGTACAGATATTTCTTACAGACCTATATAGGGGATTAAATAACAAATATTTTCCTTGATGTATGGGAAATCCATTGTTCATGATATAACTGATTCTTGGAACAATGGATGATTTTTGTCAGTCCAAGTGATCCATTCAAACAAGATTCTAGTGTATAACAATTTAATAAACTATCTGTATTTTCTTTTTTTCTTATCATTGTATCAATGTTTAATAACTCTTATACAAAAATTTATAATGCAGTTCATTCAAACAAAAACTACTAAAACTATACTAATTTGTACAAAATTTAATTAGTGTCTTTTCTTAATGTCTCAAACAGGTTGTTAAAAAGAGAAAGAATATGTAATTAAATTAAAGAAGGAAGACACTAGATGATCATAATTAAAATAACTCTATTCAACGCTGTTTAGAGAGATATTTAGCAATTCAAATACAACCAACACTTACATTTTAGGACATGTGAAAGACATTTCCATAGAAACAATTAGCAACAAACTTCACCACTATGTCATTTTTGGCTCTGTAAGCAATAAATATTTTACTTTTTACAAGACATTCATGCTATACAGAAACCTTGGCAAAAAGTGCTATACATGACTTTCCCTGACTAACTCTGTACAAATTCCCTGACCCTCACATCCCTTACATTATGAAATACTAGAGGCAAGATGGCCAAGCAGTCAAGGTGGCAGCCTACTGCTCTGAGGGACCTGGGATCGAATCCAGATGGGTCAAGGAATCCACAGAAATTTTTTGGGGGTGGTCTGTTAGGATATGTTGAGCCCCATCCCTCACCACCCGATCGCCTCATTGTGGGTCTAGCCAAACTCATAATGGGCCTGCTGTAAGAGGCCTCTTAGTGCCCACAGGGTAAAAAGAGTACAAAAAAAAGTATGAAATAACAAAATAAAACAGCATTTGACTACACTATTGCTTCTCCAACTTTTTAACTAGTTACTTTTACTTTTTCTAATTATATATTAGACAAAAAAAAAAAAAATTGGCATACATAAACTGGAACTATACAATAAACAAACAAATTCACACCTAAAAGCTAATTCCAGCAGTAAAAGAACAAATAAACTTTAATGCACCACACTCTCTTCAACCTTAAATGACCAGTAAAATATTTTAAAATACTACAAACGTTTTCGACCATTATTTCCGGTCTTCTTCAGGCAGAAAGTTCTGAGATTCGAATATCCATTGTGCTTGAACTTTAATGTTCAAACATTTTCAGCTATCTTTCAGAAGCCCTCATCAGAAAAAATGCAAAAAACATTTCTATCTTTTGAAAAGTTTTAGCTTTCGAATATAGCTGTGTTCTAATTTTTAAACATTTAAACGCTTTTGAATACAAAGATTTTTTTTTTTATAGCTTTAGTTAAACATAATTTATATGTTTACACTTTACGCTGATGTTTACTGTATCACTATAACACTTATGTGCAGTAGTGTTACAGGAGTGGATTCTCGGACTTGGAACTTACCTGGCTTTAGAGAATGATCTCATCCACTAGCACTTTCAGTAGTGTAAAACTACCATCATCAAGCAGTATATACAATACAACAGTAAAATCTTTTCTTGTGTTGAATCAGTTAAAGCTATTAGTAGCTGACAAAGACAAATGTTTTGTTCTATGAAAAAACCAAGACTTCCTAGATAGAGCTAATGAGTTCCTCAAATATCCTAGATTTCCTAGATAGAGCTAATGAGTTCCTCGAACATTCCAAATCTATCATACTAAAACAAGATCCTACTTCCACTGTGTTAAGGAAAGTGCACAAAGTTATAGAATTACCAGGAATTGTAGAATCTTTAGCTGGTCCTCTCAATCCTCCATCAAATGTCGCCTGCCCCAGATTATTTTTCGAGGCCAAAACCCATAAACCGTCCTGGCCACTAAGACCATCAGTCAATAAACGTTCCCATCCCATGCACCATCTTGAAGCCACACTAGCAAAACATATCACATCTTTAATCCCATATTCTGAGCTTGTAACTGCAGCCTCCACTGAAGCCAAATATACCATCTTACAAAAATTAGGAAACCTCCCCTCCAGTTTTTACCGACTTTACAAAGTCAATGTTATTTCTTTATATCCATCTGTTCTTCATTTTGAGGTTGTCATGCTGGCAATAGGGTATTTCTATTCCTCAATTCTAGTTACTCAGCATCACATGTTTTACACATGCGTGAAGCTCTTCATCTTGTCACTCAAAATAATTATTTCATCATCATCATCATCATCATTTATTGTTCATTGGTCCCTATTACAAGGGGGTTGCATTTACATGTTTACTTATTTTTTATTTTACAATACTTTTTTATTTTAAAATTACACTTATTTTCCGCAAATACATTTAATTTGAATCTTATAATTTTATTATTCCATTTCACTAATAATAGCATAAATTAAGATTATATTTGTATTAATTTGTTTTGTTTTTATAACTATCTATTATTTTACAAAAAAGTTATAAATTTTATATAGATCTTTTACTCATTTTGTTAAAGTTTTTCAACAGTTCTATTAGCAAGTTGCATTTACAAATTCGAATTATATCATAGTATTCACGAATTTCTCTTACAAAATAATTATTTCCAATTTAATGGAAAAATATATAAACAAACACAAGGGGTGTCAATGGGCTCCCCATTATCACCTATTCTAGCTAAACTGGTCATGAGAAATATAGAACATTGTGTTTTCAATGCCCCCTTAACTATCCAATATCCTCTCATGTATCTACAGTTCGTTGACGACATGTTAATTGTGTGGGATGGCTCCAATGAGGCTCTTCAATTTTTCTCAAATATTAGCCTCCATTTATCCTACAATTAATTTTACTGTTAAAGAGGAAGAAAACAATAGAATTTCTTTCCTGGATTTAGACATATGTACGTCTCTGGAACTTATATTCTCTGTCCATCATAGAAATAATAATGCTCTGCAAATCATTCCAGCCGCTGCTTACCAACCACCACATTACAAAAACTCTGCTATTTCTTTGTTAATACAGAGGGCTTACCTTCTCCCTTCTACTCAGGTGCTAGTAGAAGATGAATTATCTATCATTCAGTCTACTATGTTAAAAGCAGGTTATTCACACTCAAAATTTAATTTTCTTCAAAATCATGTAAAAAATAGGTTATTTCCACAATCATTTCTTTCTAATAAAGAAAACTTAAAAATAGCACATCCTCAAAACCTACTTAGGCACTGTTTCCTTAAAAATTGCACATCTGTTTAGAAGTAATGGTTATATTCTACCAATAACACCACAACCAAATCTAAGAAGACTACTATGTAATGATAGGGACAAGTACCAGTGGAATGAAAAATCTGGTGTTTACCAAATCCTACTAAAGCACACACTATCTGGTGAAGAAACCAGTTATGTAGAGAAAACATTCTAGAAAAATTTCTGACTTTATAAATAAAAATCTTTAAACATTCAAGTTATAGAAAACAAAATTATTTAGTAATCTAAAACATTTTTGTC